TGATGAAAAGATTTTGCTTAAAACATTTCTTCGAAGGTGTATCTACTCATAAAAAAAGTGATCCAACAATGTATTATTAAATATCAACAAGTAAATTAGAATAAGAATGTACTTCTTTACTATCTTTCATTTGAGAACATGTTCTCCAAGTCGATGAATATGATTTGAACTAGTGAAATTCATAACAAGTGGATGTGTCTGTTTTCGAAAATCATAATCCGTTACTGACATTCAAATTATTTAAAGAATACATCTTGTCTCTTTAAATTGTATATTTTTTGTTTCTCCAGATGGCATAATATCATAAAAGAAAATGAAAACAAAGGAACAAATCAAATTTATTTATTCCTCTATATATTGTTTCTTACACCAACTCATTTGGGTATATTCATCTAATCATAGCCAATTCTTACTTGCTTCGTGCAGTTATTAATATAATATAATATAGCACTAAAGAGTTGGCTTCCTCGAAATAATATATGGAGGTTCTTCGTGAGCACCCCTTCCATTCAGTTTTTCCAAGCTCCTACGCAATTTGAGGGAGGGCTCTTTGGTCCTTTACTGGGGTTAAGAATTAAAACACCAACTCATTAACTAGAAAAGGAGCAGGAGTTAAGAAAAGGTTATCGTTTTTAATTATATTATTATTATTTTGGAGGATGTTATGCCGTCCATGGACTCCAACTAATAAAAGGTGGTCGTTTTTTAGTTGTATTGTATTGTTATGTTATATTTATATATTATTAGAGAGTAGATAGTTAAAATACTTATTCTACAAAACTCTACAAAATTCAAATAGGGGATCGTCAATTAAAATGTCTAATGGCAAAAGTTAAGAGACAAGGGTGAGATAGGAGAGATTTTTTTAGTATTGAGCTGTCAAAAACTATTTTTTATAGTCTCTCACTTTTTAATCATGTCATATCTCATTTCTTTAAACTTGGAATTAATAAAATTGTATAGAAAGAAATAATTATATATTAATTATGATTTAGACAATAATATCCATTTTATTATTTGAGCAAAACAAAAATTAACTCTTCAAAACACATGTTGGTTGTAGTATTATCACTTTTCATATATCATGATATGACAGTAGTATGATGACATATCTCTTTTATTTTAACTAGAATTGTAAATAATGGAGTAGAAATAAATCATTAATTATTATCTATATAAGGATACCCATTTGTTATGTTTTGACCAAAAGAAAATGTATTCCTTAAAAACACGTGATTGATATCATCTGATCACTGTCATATCATAATCTAACCACTATAGTAAGATAAACAACATGATGATATCAATGTTATATTAGGATATTATCACAATAAAAATATCATGATATGATCGTGGTATGATGATATCAAAAAATGTCGTTAAAAAATAAAACTCCATACAATCTTATCATTACCTTTAATGATTCAAAGAAGTAATTGGATGGGCCAAAAAAATATAAAAATCTAGACTGAATAATTTCTTTCAATAGAATTGAGATTTGACGAGGGCGAGTAGCTCGAGTATGTCTTAGTGGTACTATTAATAGTTTATGATCACTCTAACAATTCCATGCTTTTCGACATTAGAAATATGATTGTATACATTTCATAAATCAATTCCATAAGTCATGGTTTGAAACGAATTGTCAAGCAAAAAGAAATGTGTTCTTTATATAAGAACACTGTAACAATTGAAGAATTGTCAACACACCTTTGAGTAAATTATAACTTTTCCAATCTAAAGGTTATCAAATATTTTATTGTTTAATCAATGAAAAAAAAATATTTTATTGGTTGTTGGGTTGCTTATCAATGATAGGGAGAAATAACAAATCTCATAACATGTTTATGCTTTGAACATAGTAAATTCTACTGTATGAAATTGATGTTTTATATTTTCAAATATTTTGCCATCAAAGATTGGCTTCCAATGAAATGTTTCATTATGTCGGACGAAAATGCTTTAATTAGTGGAGAAGATGATACTTTTGATGAATAAGCGATAAAAAAAATCCAAAATAAAATTGCAATACTTATTTACAACAGAGACCAAATAGTGTGGTCTGATTAAGGTTTTAGGAGTTGTTTTTCTTGGATTTGCATTTTTTTTACTTCCAGTAAGGACTATTATCAATGAATATGTTATCATGTTGAAAAGTTCTATGAGTATTCATTTTCGATATTCTCATTAATTCAATAGTTACTGAATTTTTCAATAATATCAAATAAATATGTCTTGCTTCGAAGAGTTACTTTTGTTATCTATACCATTGGCGGAACATCCGACCAACGGGCGGGCCCAATTCTAGTACTGATTATAAATTTATAATACAAAGTGTGATTTAATGACAAGTTTGGTAAACTTTCAAGATATATTATTCTAATATATCTTGAAATTGTGGTTTAATAACATATTAATTGTACTTTTATTTGTTTATGTTTGAATCTTTATTTTATTGCTTTATATTTCAAAGCAATAAACTTTGATACCTATAGATTTTCCAAATCGATGATTTGACAGAAGAGTTTATTTATAATTAGATGTGGCAATTAGGATCCAAATCCATGAATCCAATCCAATCCATCCACCAAATTATCCACTTAATCCAATCCATTTTATCCAAATCCAATTGGATTAGGGGATTCATGGATCAATCCATTGATCCAAATGGCAAATTACGATTTGGTACCTATATTTTTTATATTTTACATTTTGGTACCTAAAATTTATATTTTTGTATGAAAAATATTATTGGAAAATTACATTTTGGTACCTAAAATTTTTCATTATGACATTTTACTAGACTTTTCAAAATTTACATTTTGGTCCAAGCCTTGGATGTCATTTGGATTCATGGATCAATCCACCAATTCATTTGATCCAATCCATGAATCCACCAATTCATTGGATCCAATCCATTGGATCCATAGATCCACCAATCCAATCCAGAATTCGATCCAATTGCCTCCTCTATTTATAATCAATTCAAGTAAAATTTCTTGATATTTTTACCTTCGTTTGGAAATGCACCAAGAAGTCGAAGGTGAAACTTTAATTCTATCATCCAAAAGTCACTTAGCAAATAAGAACTTTGTCTAAATCTAAGATACCATGACATGAATATTGGTTAATTATAATAAATATAATTTGAATGCGAGGTCACCCAACGCCACTTAGTTGTAAGGCTACAAGTTTGGATTAGCAGGAAAGTTAAAGAGGAATGTAATGGTTGTGAATAAAGACATCTTCAATTGCTAATCTTTGTACTCGACTCACTTTTCTTCTTCCACTTCCCTTTCTCGAATTTTTGTTTCTTTTTGGGATAAAATGAAGTAGAATGTTGGGATATTTATATGCATAAATCAAAATATTTAGGAATCCGTAAGCATAGTAGAGGGAACAATGGTTACCTTCATGTATTATTTGACAACGAAAGAAAGTCACGCGCTTCTTAACATAGTTGTGGATGGAGTCAGTTGTCCATCTTCTTTCATTCAAAATCATATAAGCAAAAAAGTACGCACACCTGAGTCGAATGAAGAAATCTTGAAAGCTTGTCTATGATTTTAAAACTTATAGGTGCCTACACATAATTACTTCCAAATTGATTTTGGGTAATTAGTTGAGAATCCGTTGACTTTGAAAACATACTGCTCTCATTGTCCCATTATACCATTGGCAGAGCCAAAGCTTCGAGCAAGAGAGACGAAAAGAAGTAGTTCTTTTGGTCTCTCTCAATCGAATTTTCGGACAACCCCAACAGTATGATGAATCAATATGAACAACTTGTTTATAGTATCCACCGAATCGCAAATAATCTCCTAAACCCAATCTGAAGCTAATTATGTGTAGGCACTAGAGTGTTAGATCACAAGTAAGCTCTCCTAAGTTTTCTTCATTTAACGGGCATGTGCATATACTTTTCGCTTTCAACTTAATGTGGATGAAAGAAGAAGTGCAAAATAGACTCCGTCCACAACTAGTTTAAGAAATGACATGAGTATCTTTTGTTGTCAAATAATACATGATTCAAACATGTGACCTTGGTAACCATTGTTCCCTCCCTACTCTTTCATATCCCAAAGTCTTTTGGTTTATGCATATAAATATCCCAACATTGTACTTCAATTTATCCTACAAAATTAAACAAAAAAAAAGCTGAGAAAGGGAAGAGGGATAAGAGAAAAGCGTTTGCAAATATTAGAGATTGAAGATGTCTTTATTCAGAACCATCTCATTTATCTTAGCTTTCATGCTTAATCCAAACTTGTAGCCTAACAAATAAGTGGTGACTTCTCATACAATTTTTGTTTATTATAATTATGGAATATTCATGTTATGATTTATTACACATATAGAAAGTCCTTATTTGCTCGTTAATTTAGAGTGATTTGGATTATAGAATTAATACTTCACTTTTGCTTCCTTTGTGCATTTCCAAATGAAGGTCGAAAAAACTTATGGGTTGTTAGGTGAATGCACCTAAGTGAGTTGGTGAAAGAAACAATATATTGAGGATTAAATATTTTTGGTATGTTGCAATTGTTTTCATTTTCTTTTATGATATTGTGTCAATCTTGATAAAAAAAATATATAAAAAGTTATAAGAGGCAAAATATTTTCTTGAAATAATTTGAAGGTCAGTTAGTTATTGTCATTTTAAAAACGTCAAATACACTTGTTATGAATTTAACGAGTTTGAGTAATATTTATCAAACTAGAGAAAATATTATCAAATGAAAAATGATAAATAATTAAGTTTTTATTCCAATTTACTTTTTATCATTTTAAAAAGAACATATTCTCTTTGCAATTCCAGTGTTTTGTGACAATGTCATCATAGTAAATGACACTTATAATTGGAGAATGGATCAGGTGAAGAACCTAATCTCCATAACCCATTTTTCACGTATTTATGCCAAATCAATCTCAATCTTTAGTAATTTAATCTCCCATTAATTTTTAGTGATAATATCTTATATCTTATTTGCTTTAACTACGAGATTGCTCCCCGCACACAAAAGGACTTACAGTCCTATAAATACCAGACCTCCAACCCTCACTTGGGTAACTCATTTCTAACCCCTGTCATGTACATTTCTTTCTCGTCCATTTCTAGTTTTTCCCTCACTAACTTGATTGTTTGACGAAAATTTGGGTGATCAAGTTTGGTTTTGTGCTGCCTTGCAAGTTAGCCCACCAAAGGCGACATAAACACCAAGACATCCTTATTTTCTTGTGCACCAGATGGATTCGAACCCAAAATAATATAACTTTAGCTCTTTCATCAAGATCAACCCAAAAGATCTCTCCTGGAACAATTGGCACCAATCATGGGGCATTGTTGAGGAAGCAACTCCGGTTACTGCTATATTCTTTATAAATGAATTATTTGAATAGTATTAGTTTTAGTTTAATTTATTAATTAAATACTTATATATGTATTTATATTATGAAAAGAGGACACAATTAGTTTTGAATCCTAGTTCTGCCGCTGCTTCCATAACACCATGGTATAGTATTATCTTTTATAATACCAATTATTACCATTGTGGTATAGAGTGGTAATATGTGCTTTCAAACTTTTTGTTACAAAAATATCAAAATGAATGTCATTTTGATAAGTGTAATTAATCATATTTTTATGTGAAACAAAATTAATTCATGTCCTGTTTGTTGGAGGAGACGGGAAAGTATTGAACACTTGTACTTTAGATGCCCATTGGCCACCATGTCGTGGTCACTGGTCACTCATGGGTCTAAATGCTTTCATTGCCTCGACCCCGACTGTGAATTTCAGTCTCTGGTGGCGACATGTTATGCTTTTTCGAGCACCCCCAAACCCATGTTTTCCAATGCCTATTCGTACTGTGGAGGATATGGGAGTTTTGTAATACATCATCATCCTTGTCCTCTACATTCTCATCTAGAATATCAAAGCTAGCTGCTTCACTAAATACAATACCAGCCTTCTTACCACCCTTGGAAGATTTTTTCTTCCCAGTGAACTCAACAGTCAAAGCCTCATCTTCAACATCACCATCATCTTTGTCTACAACCTTGCTGTCCTCATCACCATCATCAATTGCGTCAAAGGCTGAAGCACTAAACAAGCTACCACTGGTCTTACTGCCTTTTTGGGAGGACTTCTTCTTCTTCCCAGTGAAACTCACAACTAATTCATCCTCTTCCTCGCTATCTTTACCACCTGTTAACTCGGAGTTATCCTCATCATTTTGATCCTCATCGCCACCATCTTCGTCTCCATCTCCGAGTAGTCCGAAACTCGATGTGGAGAATGTGCTCGTCCCTCCGGTTTTCTTACCTTTGGATTTCTTTTTCCCAGCAAACACAATGTCAGGGACCTCATCATCGTCTTCATCCTCCAAGGATTTATCATCACTATCCAGCTTAGCCTGTGAACTTTTCTTGTCTGCCTTTTTACCTTTCTTCTTGCCCGTAATAATAGGCTTCTCATCTTGCACCTGAGACTCCTCAGACAACTCCGTGCCAATGGAGTATTCATCATCATCTATCACTAGAGCTTTCTTCTTCGATTTCCCTCCACCTCCCTGAGATATTGCGGGAGGGTTGTCCTCGTCACGGGCGGCTGGCTTCTTACGACCCATCTAGGAAATCTGAAGTAAACTCTTTCTTCTTGAAATGCTATTTCGATGAACAGACACCTGCAGATGCGTAAAACCAATCAGTTCTATCGCAAAGAGAGGATTGCTGCAAACGGAGAACTGAGAAAGAAGCGGACAAGATGATCACAATTCAGGACACACAGGTGGCGGCGGATCCATCTATAACGGAACGAACCATCGCAAGCTCATCAGACTAAGACCAGGAACCCGAAGATTAAATCATATCAAAACCACAAAACCCTAGATTATTACATTCAAGATTCTTCTCTCCAGCAGAAAGAATCGGATGAATGCAAACAAAATAAGCAAAGCAACCACGGAGACGAGGATGAAATTAAACGCACCAGAGAGGAAGGGCGAGAGTGAGCTGCTTCAGAGGACGGCAGCCAACTCCGACGAGAATCGGCAGCAAGGAACCTAAAATTGGAGGAAGTTTGTTAAGGCGGGGCGAACGGAATCAATACAAAGAGAAATGAGGAAGACGGAGAGAAAGTGGGTGTGCGTGTGTGTATCTGCGTTTCTTTGCGTTTTTCTTAGGTAAAACTTATTGCGATGCAAATATTTGGGGATGGCGATTGGGACTTTCCGGTGAGGAAGAATCCGGGTGCTAGTGAAAAACAATTGGCCAGAAGTTCCGATGACGGCGGAGGGGTAAAAGGATTTGCAGGGGATTGAAGCAGAAGCGGTGGGCAGAGGATCGGAGAAAATACAACTACCCTACCAGAGAAGAGGTTGATGCGTCTCCCCGCACAGAGCCTCGGCGCTCGTTCTCCGTCGGCAGGAAGGGTGAAAGAATGTGAAGACGGCTCCCTTCTGCAACTTTTGCTAGAGCTCGACTGTGAATTAGGGCTTGAAATTTTAGTTTTAGCGATCTTTTTTTTCTTCCAGTTTCATTTGTTTTTTATTTGGATAATGAGCTTTTTTCCAATTCTAATTCTTTTTGACAAATATATATCCCCAAATCAATGTCTTCGGAGCTAGATCGAATTCGTTGGTTAATTGTTGATAGAATCGTTGGTGCGCTCTAGTATAGAATAAATATTATTATAATCAATCGAAATATGAATCGTTGTAATGAGTGGTTCATGCTTTCGTGGTTAATAATAGGTATTAAATTATTAAAAAAATCATCAACACGGATATCTTATAACAAGAGAAATTTAAATAGAACATACAAGAATGACATAATAAACATAATAATTCAATCTTAAAATTTTCAACAAAGCAAACAAATATTATTACCAACTGTGAATTTATTTTTAATAAATTAGCGTGAACGTAATTATTTTATATTTTAAAAAATCATAATATATTCCATAACAAGCTTGTAGGATAAAAATAGCCTCTCTCTTGACCCATAAAAAAGTTCATTGGAGAAAAAGGTCAAAAATCATCTCTTCTCTCTCCTGCGCTTTGGTGCTCCCTTCGCTGTCATGGCGGCTCCGTTGACGAGCTCAGCCCAGAATGGCGAGCCATTGAAATGGCCGAAGTTTTTCAATGTTCCGGAGGCGAATCAGATGAAGTTTCATCCTCCAAAGCGGGTTCAAGATGGTTTTCGAATTCCTATGGGGTCAAGAAAATTGGTGAGGCAAGGTGGAAGGACTCCCTCATCAGTCAACTCATCGTTCCGATTCCAAAGGTTTTGCCTCTATAGCAATGGGCCACAGCTCTTTGGGGTCGCGATGGTGTTGTTAGGGTTTCAAGGATTGGTCCGAGACTCCTTGTATTTCAGTTTCCCACTGCTTCTACAAGCAAATGTGTTTTTCTGTGACGAAGTTTTTCAATGTTCCGGAGGCGAATCAGATGAAGTTTCATCCTCCAAAGCGGGTTCAAGATGGTTTTCGAATTCCTATGGGGTCAAGAAAATTGGTGAGGCAAGGTGGAAGGACTACCTCATCAGTCAACTCATCGTTCCGATTCCAAAGGTTTCGCTTCTATAGCAATGGGCCACAACTCTTTGGGGTCGCGATGGTGTTGTTAGGGTTTCAAGGATTGGTTCGAGACTCCTTGTATTTCAGTTTCCCACTGCTTCTACAAGCAAATGTGTTTTTCTGTCTGGACCTTGGCATTACCAAGGGAACCAATCACGTGGAGATGGATTGCTATTTTGTTCACGAACGAGTTGCCTCTCGAGAGATATCCCGCATAAGATCAACATTCATCTTCAGCTCGCAAATATCTTCACCAAAGCCTGGGGCATTGATCAATTCCACACACTTCTCTCCAAGTTTGGTATTCGTGACCTTTATGCTCCAACTTGAGGGGAGTATTGGACGTATTTGTACATATTCCTTGTAACAAGTGGTTATTTGTAATTTGCCTTATACCCGAGGTGACTGTCGAATGGTAAAGTGTTTCTCCTCCGCTGAACTTAAAGTCTAACCTAGAGGGAACTCGGCAACTTCTCCTTCTTTGAACAATTCACTAATGAAACCTCATCTGAGAGCTATGGTCTTCGTGGACTAGTCACGATCTTCGGGAAAACCACGTAAATCATCGTGTTCTTTATTTTGCGCGGTCAACAAACTTTACAGACTAAGCTTAAGCTTGCTCCTGTTGACAAAGCTCTAAATTCTTGTGAAGAAGGTAAGGAGATTTCTTCTAAAGTGGTTGTCCAAGAAACATCTTATGTGCAAGGTGAGGCATCTTCTGATAAAGGGAAATCTCCTCTGGTGGTTATGGAAAATCCAAATGAAGGGGGAGGAAGGAATTCATAAGGTAATTGGACAAAGGGTTGTTAATCAGGATTCTCCTTTATATCTATGGGGTTGTTGTTAGTTTTGCTCAAGTGGTTAGAGGGTCACAAGCAAATGCTGGGAGCCCTCAAGCTATAGAACAATCGATTGCTTCAGCTAGTTCATCAGCTCAGACTGGGAAGCTAGCTGATCAGTCAACTATAGTAGGAAATTCGAGACAGAATCAGCAGGAGGAAGGGTATTTGGGTGCAGAAAAAATCCTTTACCCTTTTTCTAGCCCCTAAGGTGAATCGAGATGGTCGGGGAGGTAAAAAGAAATGAAGATTCTCATATGGAATACTAGGGGATTGAAAGCCCCTGATAATAATAAACCTATACAAAACTTAGCAAATAAGTTTAGCATAGATATAGTAGCTATATTAGAGCCACGAGTTATAGCAGGAGAAATTGATCAATGACAGGTTCCCAAATTAGGAACAAAAAGTTAATAATAATGAAAATTAGTTGGGGAAGATTTGGTTAATCTAGAGGAAGAATATTCAGTTGAGGGTTCTGCACAAATCAAACTAGTTTATACATGTTGCCAACACAAATATCCCTTATTTTATCACTTTGGTTTATGCATCAAATGAAGAGGCTGGCAGAAGGAAGCTCTATGCTGATCTTGAACGCATCAGGGTGGTTAATGCACCAATATTTTTGTTAGGTGATTACAATGCAATAGGCCATCCGAGTGAGGCCTCAGTTTTTCTACTAGCATGAGTGAGTTTTTGCAATGCCAGTAAACCCTAGAGATTGTGGAACATAAGTACTCTGGCTCATGATTCACATGGATCAATAAGCAAGAAGGTAACCCCATAACAAGGAGGCTTGATAGGGTATTTGTAAATGTTGAATGTTTGGACCGTTTTGGATCTAGCAAAGTTGTTTGGACATATAGTTCTATCAAGTTGATAACACCCAGATTGTTGCTATTTACCCTTCATATTTAGGTTCATTTCGTGCTAATTCGTGTGCATAATCGGAAGAATATCATTGATTGCATCCCTATTTTGTTCCTATTTGATTATGTCGTGATTTTAGGGTGCTTTAGACGATACATGTGAATTAGGTACGAAAAGGGCAGAAGTGTAATGAAATGGGCAGGAAGCTGATGATTCACAGCCGGGAAGGGAAAGATATAATTCGAGACAACAGACTGTGAAGCAGGAGAGAAGATTGTGGCCGTGAAAATGGAGCCCTTGGACGTGAAGTTCGTGAGAAAGCCACACAAGAGAAAACAGAAAGTTTCGACAGTCGAATCACGGTCACCGTATTCCCTGGCCGCGAGGAAGTTCGCGGCCGTGACTCACGGATTGTGACCGTGATGTCAGCCCGCGAACTCCCCGAGGATGAAGACTAAAACGGCGACGCCTGAAGATCGCGGGCTCGAAGAAAAAGATCACGACCGTGAATTCCCTTTGCTCGATCGTACTTGTCCGCCCTCCTGAAATCTATAAATTGAGGACCTCCTCCCCCATTTTTAGGAGATATGATTTTGAGATACAAATTTCTAGTTTACAGAGAAAGAGAGAGAGAAGAGAGAGAAACTGAATGAAGGAGAAGATAAGAAGAAGGAAAAGGAGGAGAAGCTAGAGGAGAGGAGTCATCTTCTTCAACATAAAGCATTCCCCAAATTCTTCTATGTATCTTCTTCCCTCCTTTATGGAGCAGTCTCTTAAGGTACTAGGGGTTTTAACTCCCAAACCCTATTTTAGGACTATTATGTACTGAATGAATATGTTAGGGTTTTGAATGATTGTGTTTGTCTAGTTGATTTTAATGTTTCATCTACCTATAATTGTGCTTGGGCAAGTCATCATAATCTTCTTTACTAGCCTACTTGAGCTTCTATGTTGGGTACAGAGTTTTAGGGTTAGAAAGGTATGCGACTTCTGGCAGATTAGGGTTAGATGAATGAATAGGGTCTTGTGGTGGACGAGGCGACCGAACCCCTATCATAAGAACGCCTTCCTAGATGGAACCTGAGATGACACCTCGGTGTGGATGCTGTGTAGTACTCATTGAAAGGAGCTAAGTTCTTAAAGCCCCATATACGTGAGCCTATACTAAGGTGACAATGGGGGTAGGTAGGTGATGACTCAATATTTGCACATGTTTTTCCCCTTTGTTTCTTGATCGTTTAAGCTTGCATTATCGCTTCTTTGGCCTATTTTACGCTAGGTTGTGTTCCTTTGTTACATTTCAGGTCCTAGCACATAAAGTGAAGCATAGGCGCAAGTTTCAAGTCAATCAGAGATCAATTGGCGATTTGGGAGAAGAAACTCTGGCATGACCTGAAGAAGAATGGATTTTTACCTCCCTTTATGGATGAAGAATCGTGCAAGTCTGTCATGAAAAGAAAGAGGACGAGACTACGAGCGTCTGGGATCAAACGGCGACTGATTCGGAGTCCGGACGAGGGAGAAACGAAGCATTGAATATAGGGGAACAGGTTCGGCAGTGAAAACACGGGCAGGAGGCCTTCAGAACACGGCCGTGTTCTGTGACCGTGCTTTTACTGCCGAGAGCTAATTTGAGTTTGGCCAACTCGAGCTGAAAACACGGGCTGAAAGCACGGCCGTGTTCCACCAAAGCACGGGCGTGTTCTCCCAAAAGCACGGCCGTGTTTTCCCCAACTGCTGGCGGTGTAATTAACCCTAGCCAAAGCACGGGCGGGCTGAGCCAAAGCACGGCCGTTCCCTCGACCGTGCTTTGGCCACTGATGCCCTTTTAAGCAGATTTTCAGCCAAAAAGAAGGGGACTCGAGTTTTAGAGAGACAGAGCGATTCCTAGAGAGAGAAAGCGACGAACAAGAGTCTCCAAGCGCCCTAGATCGATCTTCAACACCATTGGAGCTTGGTTTGAGCTTGGAGAAGTGCCGATTCAACGTCCAGGAGCAGAAATCCATCTTCACAGTATGATTTCCGCGTCTGATTCTGCTTTTGCTTCTTTCTCCATGGAGTAGTTCTCCCATTCATCTGGGTGTGGGAAACCCTAGTTCTGTATGTTGGGATTGATTGTATGAACCCAAGTACTGTTTCTATGAATTGATTATATTCGATTGAGGTTTGAATGATTGAATGGCATGAATCCTGAT